CTGTTATAACGATCCGCATAGGCAGTGGCAAAAGATTTTTCTGAAGCATCTATGACACTCTCCAGATCTACTTTATCGGCCTCTGTGGCTCTGTCAGACACAAAACCCTTTGCTGGGCTAACTAATCCTCGGTCGTATTTTTGTCGCATGGTAGGATTCCCAAGAATTTCATAAGCCTGCTTTATTTCTTCAAACTTTGCTCTGGTAGATGAATCTTTTGAAATATCGGGATGGAAGAATTTAGAGAGCTTATAGAAGGCATCTTTGATTTCCCTATTGGTAGCATCTGATGGCAAATCTAATACTTTGTATAGACCTCCAGAATGCTTGGAAGAAAATGTAAAAAGTTGTGGAAACAGCTTTGGTGACAGGACAAAGAACCTCGATGGCAAAAAACTTCTGGTCCGCGAAAACATACGCGAAGCGGTAGACGGTTCAAATTGGCCTCCTTATCGTTTAAAAACAGATAGGTAAATCCAGTTTACTTAATAATTAAAAGTTTAAAAAAAATAATTTTTACAATATATAAATATGAGGCACTTGCGTTGCAGTGCTTCCCTGATGGGCCAGTTTACCTTAGCTTCTTGGTCCGTTAAGACACTTTTCTTACTTCTCCATTTTCACCTCGTATTCTCTTTTCGTGACTCCCAACAAGAAGTAAATTAAACTAGTTGCTAACACTTTTCAGGAAATTAATTCGAAAGTCCTAGAGTTAACTGATTTGTCAAGTAGAAGACCTCTTATCCGTCTTAGCCATGATCAATATCAGCATCTTTTGGCTTCACCGCCGAGAAATTACTCGGTTATACTTATGCTCACTGCCCTAAATCCTGGAAGGCAGTGCCATATTTGCAAGTAGAATTTTTCCTTTTTTTTACTCCCAGGTCCGCTCATCATGAGTTTATTATCGTTGCTAATTCATGGCGTATTGCACACTTTCACACGCGCCATGCCAGATTATTCTTTGCATTTGGAGATTATGATGATGTCCCACAGATATTTCAGGCTGTATTATTGCCCTTTTTATTCCTCTTTTCTTAGCTTCAGCAAAACTCCGCCCCACTCTTCATTCACTTTCCAGCAAAAGGCTTGCCCAAAGAGTCTAACTACATGGATTTAACTCGCTCTGGGTATTCGGCAGAAGCAATTGCCAAATGGATACAAACTCAGACGTCTATTGATGTATGTCGTTTCATCTAATAAATTCGATTAGATACATGTTTTGCGTCCTCCAAATTACGCGGCATCAGTCCTCCTGATCGTCTTTATGTCATTTGGGGCCGCTATTCTTTATTTTAAACGCAATAATCTGGAATGCTTGTTCTCAAGATCTACATGGGCGGTTATTTCAATGGTAAGAGTAGTTCTCGGGGGGTAAATTTTACATTTTTTGAAATTGTTTTATCCTCACTTTGCGAGTCAGAATTGTTTTCATCAACACTTTACATGTTTTTTTGCAAATAATTTCAAACTGCTTGGCTAGTTATTCTCTGAATAACTTATTTCTATCCAATCATTTGAGAATGCACACTTGTGCTTCTTGTGCATCTGGCACCATCTATAAGAGCTGATCCTATTACTATATTTAATAAAATATGTTATAAGAGCTAATTTATCGTCTTGCATTTTCATCATTCTCATATCTTGGTATTTTATGTCATACTATTCATTTATTAGTTAGCATTGATCTTTCTGCCATGGATATTTTTTATTTGATTTACTTACATTTTAAAGACCATAAAATGTCACATACTTTATTCTTCTCTTTGGAAACCAGATTGCTTACGCGCTTTAAGTTCTGCCTACATACTTATTGGGGCTGCTTGACAAAGATGGAGGTATATAGGTTTAAACCTTGCGCTTAGGGTGTATACCATAATTGAATAGACTCAGGGCCCTTTTGAAGCGACATTCCTACACATATTTTGACATGATGATCTTAAAAGTGAATATTATTATTTAGCACTCTTAAAGTTCATGCTCAAAACCAGTTATTTGCTTTATATCTATTTTCATAACTATCGTTAGTCTTCCGAACATCCATTTGTTTGTGTTTTTGTCCATATTGCTATTTCCACTTGTAGGCACTAATTTTCTGTATGATTTCGGGTCAAGTCTTTAATCATATCAAAGGGCCTCCTGTTCTGCATGCTCAGCATCCTCATGGCGCAGTTGTGAGTGTCTATATTTTTTTTATTTTCTCACATTCACTCATTTTAAGCTTAGCATTTTCCGCTTATTCTTAAGATTGGTAAATTCATGATCAGTCGATAGGTCTGGTAATTGATTTCTTCGGTGTTAACGCTATTTGTCATGTGACAC